ACACTTCAAACATCTCTTCAGCTGCTGTCCTGATCCAAACTGAATCTGAATCTTTGAGTAAGCACTGTCCTAGGAGAGTACATTAAGTGAGAAGTGCTGGATGACAGACTTGCTCACTTAAAGTTCCTGTCTCATTTATGGTTTTGGACCACAAGCTTTATATACAATGCAGATCATGAGCCACATGACACAACAGTGTCAATACAGCCCCAATCCTGCCTACAAACTAAGATAAAAACAAGTATTAACAATACTAAGACTCTTCTTACACTTTAACCATTACCTATCATTTCCACAGGTCTTTCTCTCCCCACACCACAATGTGACTGTTTTTGAGAAGTCCCTGCTTATTTTAAGTATTTGCCTTATGATTCTGAATCATACTGAGAAAACTGTAGAGAGGAAATCAAGCCTAAGTTTAGATTCTTGAACTCCAATGAAGTGACTAAAGCAGTAAATGTAATTTGTGTCCCTAGACATCTAGTTCTGGAACAATTCCATCAGGAACCACAGAAAGAATGAGCTATTTTGTTTCATAAAGATATTCAACCATATGATACTGTCTAGAATCAAGATTCAGTCTGACATAATACATAAAAGTGAAAATATTTCGGTACTTAGCCACTATTAAATAGTAAATCAGATGTATGTTGATTAAAATATGAATACTACAACTACTTTTCCACACTCATGGTAGACAAAATCGATGTTTCTACAATAGGGATGGGGCATACACAAAGGATGTAGAAGAAATTCCAACCACCTCAGACAGGGGCCGTTTCAGATTTAATGTTCATTCTATATCCCAGTTTAGTTTAATTTTCTTATTTCAAAGAATCTTACTATAAATTCTTAGTTTTTTCATATGCTCACAAAGAAACAAAAGACACCTCCTTTCTTCATGACAAAATATTAATTTTCAGAAGTGACAGTGGCTACAGTTACCATCTTAAAAGGTACAGCAATTCAATTAGAATGGAATTAAAGCTTCTGATAATAGTCACTACACTTGTACTTAATGCATGTAACTGAATCAAGAATAAAAATAGTCCCATTCACCCTACCTCGAGCGCGTGGCTCCAAGCATTCCAATTTTATTCAGTGCATTAATGTGCTGGAACTTTTTGCTTTCACCGATTAGTCACGGTTTCTCTTGCTTCTCATAATAAGAATAAAAGCTGCTCAAAGCTGTCACTGTTCCGTACTCCAGAACGGTTGCATAATTGCCGATTATCGATAGTGAATCATTTGTTGCAGAGCAGGGAAAGCCAAAATGAACGTCAACTCTACAGTGAAGAAAAGTACTAAGATAACATTAAGGAGGAAAGCATTTATAAATATCCTGAAAGTGGAAGCAAGGTTAAATTTAGTTTGAGATGGAAAAGAAGCAGCTCACAGTTTCGTTATGTAACCTTTAACTTGCAGTCATCTACAGACAGAAAGCAGGACAGCATTGTCTGAAGAAGCTCTGGAGAACACTCTAGAAGGGAGCAAGAAAACCTAGAATTTAAAGTGATAATAAGCAAGACAATTCAATTTTTGCTTTCTAAATTTATGATGGTACAGCTCAATAAAAGCAAGAGCAAATATTTTGTCTCAACTTCACTGAAACTATTTTACAGTTTCTAGAGATTTACTCACACAGTGAGTATCACCAGGCTAAACAAAATAAATTGCACATATTTCAGCACAAAAAGACTGACAAACAGCAAGAGTATACAATCTACTTACATTTCTCCAGAGTAGCCATTCTGTGTTGACTGTTATTTCTGATTTAAAGTCTGCTCAGCAGATTGTGAAATATGTCAAAATACTATGACAAAATTATACTTCTCAGGTCTGTGAAGGGTGCTTCTCAGATCCAAGCTACCTCTAGAAATCTGTTCTTTGTTTTTGAACAGGTTATAACATAATAATGTACTATGAAGAAAGTGCAAGATGCTTAACAGCGCAAGATATGTAAGGGATATAACATCTTAAAACTTCGTGTTCTTTCTGGTTTTGAATCAACTAAAGATGCCAACAAAACATCTGTATTTAGTAATTTAAGCCTTAAAGTCAAGTAAAAGACAATTTATGCTTTAAATCTGACAGACCCCAAACCACAGCTTAACAGATCACGCATGATCTCTAGCACTGTGCTCTTGATAAAAGAAGCAATCTGAAGATTCCAAGAAATTATGGTTAAAAATAATCACCATTCTCTCCCCCAAACAAACAAAAAACCAACAAAAAAACCCAAACCAACAAAAAAATGAAAACAAAAAACTAACAAGCAAACACCCCACAAACAACAAAACCAAGCAATTTTGTTGATACACTGAATGTTACCTTTTCCTCTCTCACCACAAAATGTAGGTAATAACAATAACTTTAAAGCTGCTTGCAATTGCTTGAAATTATTCCAAAAGCAACTGCAAATCCACAGTACCCTTTTAAACCATACAAAAGGGCACCCAGCTATTTAAATTTGAAACTAATGCTAGGAATGAACAGGAAATGACAGCAAGGAGTAAACTAGCTGACATACAAGAAAGTCACCATGACCAAGCATGTGTTTTGATATCACTTCACAGACCTCGAGATTGTGACAGTTTTGTTTGTTGGGCCTGTTTTTTGTTGTGTGATTGTGAAGGTTTTTGGTTTGCTTTTCAAAATGCAGCACCAGTCAACTCAATTTTCAAAGTCTTTCACAAAAGAAAGAGCATGTTTGTGAATACTGAGATGGCATTTACACTACACGATTTTTTCCACAAATCTGATTGAAAACATGTACAAATACAAAACACTAACACCACTTTCAAGGGATTTGTTTATTTTTGGTTTACAAACAAAGGCACCCGATATTTCTGTTTATGTCTTATAAAAGCTCACGGATTTAGCATTTTTTTCCAAACATTTGTTCCTACAGCAGAGAAAGACATTACAGGAAAACATGTTTTTTTCCTGGTCCCAAATTTAAATACCAGTTACTGTTAAGAGATCCTGTTGTTTCAGACTGCTCTTCCCCCTATTTAACTAACTAGAATACCTCCTGCAACTTGCTAGTCAGTAGAGTCTAGCTTACTGTATCAAAATACAGTTCCCATACATTTTTGATCAACATCCATTATGTGCAAACACTGGTATGAAGAACTGCAAGAGCACAGGGTTCTGATATGGAAAAACCCCCAGTAGTTTCAGATAGAACTTCACAGGTTGACCACAGGAAGTGACAAAACTAATGTATAAATGTGACACTGAATCTATTGTTAGCTGAATAGGATGACTGATGAATTTGTGCAAGATACCAATAGTGCACAGAACCATGGTCTTTAAGGAGAGAAAAAATTGGGGGTTTTAATTGGCAAATGTTTAAAGAGTAAAGGCTAAATATCCGTATGTTTAAAGCAATCCTTTTCTTCTTTATTCAAAATAATAGATTTCTAAGCAGTGTTTTGGACCAGAATCAGTTCATTGGCTTCATAGTTTTCAGTATTAACAAATCAACATTAAGAATATCATGTTTAATAAACAACTAAAATTCCTAAGTGAATTGCTTCACAGAATCATTTTCTGAATATGATGTATTTGTCTTTTGCAAACTTCAGCCACATGCCAACACAGGACAAAGGGTGTCATTGGATAGTAGGCACCTCTGGAAAAAGAGTTTACAATTCAGGAATGCTTAAGCATACTTTCAGGTCTAGTAAGATATTTGGGCAGGCAACTAAAAATGTAATACACCTAATGTATTTGTTAAAGCGTAACATCTTCAATCACAGAAGCCATAATTTATTTTCAGCCACAGTCAGAGGTCTCTCACACAAGGTGTGGTCCTAGACCACTTAGGGTTTTCATCACTACCTTTATATATACACAGGTAATTTTAAAAAGGAATTACAACTTAACTACTTACTACAGAATATTTTGCTTCAACAAGGAAGCCATTTATCTTTCCAAAAAGAGATATACATCTTCACAAAAGGCGTTCTTTTTAAAGTAAGAGTTTTCACAGGAATAGCAAAATAAGTTCTTTACATAATTCAAATAGGCCAAAAAAAACCCAAAAAACTACCAAGGGCAAGTATAACATAGCTCTTGTGTAATTAAGTCTTTATTTGCCTCTCCAAGCAGATTCAAGACATATTCATCAGTATAAACTGATTTTAATGAACAAGCACTGGGCAAAGGTGCCAGTCAGTGCATCAGTTAAGAGGAACATTACAGTATTCTCAGAATTCTGTGCAATCAAAATTTAAAGGGATCGTCATATATTGCCTTAAACAAGGATTCAATCTTTTCTTACAACTTGCTAGGTTTTTTAACTATCTTCCCTACTGAAACAAAGTAACATGCAGAGAAAAAAAACAGGTTTCTTCATAATTAAACCTAATAGTTTCAGTTAAAAGTTTCATTTTGAAGCAAGGTACATCTTGCTCTGCATGCCCAGTGAAATGAGTTTATTGGAGCAGGGATAAGAGAGTGTGCTTATGCATTGGTGTTTTCCGTATATCAAATTTCATAGGTCAGAGATTTAAAACATTATTAATTCATGAAGCACTCACTAGCATTGCTTAGAATTTAAAAACAGGTATACCTCAATGAAAGCCTATAGTTTGTCCAACTACTATTACCAGTAATATAAATAGCAACTAAGCATAATAAATTCCTTTCAAATACCTTCTGAAGTCAGAAGTGTAACAATAAAAGGCTGGCTCTGTGTTGCCAATAAGAACCATTAAAAACAAAAACAAAAAAAAACCCCACACCAAAACCCAAACAGATGGTCAATGACTTCAGTCTTATCCCCCAGCCCTCTACACCTTTTGTACCCCAGGGGGATGGGATTATATTTCCTTTTATCTACTCTATGATAGGATCCATTCTGATTTCAGAGAAGCAAATTGCTCATGCTGACATAAATATAAGTTAGACACAGACAATTTCAAGCACAGAACTGAATCACCAAGTGTATTCTGAAAACCAGACTGGACAAAAGGCCTTTCAGTAATTAAGGAAGGTTTTGGTTTTTGTTTTTTTTTGTTTCTGTTTTTTTGTTTTGGTTTTTTTTTTTTAAAGCAAAGTAGGCACCATTGTTGCATCCCTACTTTGATAAGAAGGGAAGAAGTGGCAAAAAGGCAAATTACAAAAGTCCTCAGATTTTTTTCCCCAGGAGATCTACCATCATTTATATGATTTTGCAACTTCCAAATCCCTTTGTAATTTAGAAGAATTTCAAATAAACAGGTTTACAGAAACTAACAACTACTAAGTCACAATATTTATCTTGCTCAATGTGGAGTAAAACTTAAAAGAAAAAAAAGTTAAGGCAGATTTCAAACAAACACGTTCCAAATTGCACAGTTACATTGGTCAGCGGTTTAAAATGTTTCCCCAGGTCAAAGAGTTAAAGTTATTTAAACATTTGCCTAATGCCAATTCATCCTGGCACTTGACCATTTTATTCTGTTTCCAGGAAGACACACAACTAACATTACATATACCATACTGTATATTTTGTACGTCAATGTAAGATGACATTACGCTTTTACAAAATGTGAGATGACTACATGTTACAGGCTTTGTGCAGTTAGACCACCATATGCATAGATGTCCTAATGCTAAATTCTCTTCTTCAGTATCTCATAGTACTGGAGGCTCTGAAGTACGAGAGGAACTTGTAACACAGACTAACCACAAAGTACCAGATATTTCGTGCCATTTGTGATCTTGCAATAAATATACGCCAGATCAGGATCACAAGAATTGTATTGAAGCCGTAACGTATATTTCTTAACCTAAGAAGAAAAAAAAAAATAATAATTAAAAGCCAAGGTGCCAAGACTTGTGGCAAAAAAAAAAGAACACTCAAAAATTAACTTCTAATGGAGAATTTAACTTGTACATCTATTCATCTCAAAATGTACTATGAGTGGTATTAACTGAATGATTGAAGTAAGCTGGCAAGCAAAGGATCAGAGAAGGTTTTTCCATAGTTCACTGCTGAAAAGTGAAACACACGATACCTAAAGAATGGAGCCAGCCGTATAGCTAACCACAGGTATTTCTGCTTTAAAGTTGGTTGATAAAGCCTCTTAAAGCCAAGGTCACACACACAGTTACTTAGCTATGGAAGGCTGCCATCCACCCCAAAACCAAGGAAATATTTAACACTATGAAATCCCCTCCTTTCCTCCAGATTGTAAAACTTGATATATATGTAGAAGTAACTCCAACTGCTGTTGACAACACACAAAAACATCATAGGATTTTCTAGCCACAGAGCTCAGTCTTCCCTGCAATTTTAAACTCATTCTTTCTCAGCGAACTGTATTTTAAAGATTAGGAAAAACCAAGTGTCCTTTCATGGCAACTCTGAATTTTAGTAATAATCTCACAGGAAAAGACGGAAGCTTCAAGACAAAGAGCAACCAGAATTTACTCTGATTTCTTAGAACCAGAGCAATCTCTTTGGTTCAGTAGATTATGACCATTTGTATTTTAGAGACAACTCGATCTAAGGAAATGCTCACTGCCATTGTTTTACAGGTAGGCTCACTGTTATTATAGCAAGACCTTCATCTACATACCTTATCTGCACTAAAAAAAAATAGTCTAAATTTCAGTATTACAAAAGTAAAGCTCACTTTTCTATTTGAGAAAAAAATTCACCCAGTAGCTTCCTAGAGAAGCCACATCCCCTAGCCTACCAGATCTGGCTAATGTTGAAGCACTGGACTCAGTTAAAGAGTTAAAGAGTTAAAAGCTAGATGCTAACAGAAGAGACCAAATACTTCAGAGTGAATATAGGTGAGAACCTAAACCTCTTGCTAAAATAATCCACTTATAAACTGAGCACTGAGGACAACCAGATACTGTTCAAATACAAGGCTATTTCTCATGTTATTTTTGGTACACTCCTTTGTAGGGAGAATGTAAACTAAGTCCCATTTAGCAGCATCTGAATAAACTTAAAGCAAAACCAGAAGGGAACACCTCCTCAGCTATTCCCACCATTATCAAAGATTACCATCTTCCAAAAGCGTATTTGAGATTGTAATGTATCATTCCAATCCAATCCACAACTGCAAATCATTGTCTTTAGAAGAATGACACAAGTAATGACCTTGACCACTTCTCTTTGTGCTGTCAGGATAGCAGATGTGAGGTAGTGTTGCACGACAAGAATAATCACTTTTGTCTCTTTAATGCGGTAAAAAGAAAATGTCTACAACCATCTTTATAAATCAGCCAAAAATAAACCAGGGACAACTGTGCCAGTAAAACTCCGGACACTAGCAGCTACAGAGGAAGTGGTAAGAAAAGTCATCTTCGAACACCAAAATCAGATTTTTCAGCTCTGAGGTGGAGAGTCCATGACTGTTTACTCGCCTGCTCTTGGAGGCAAAGGTCTCACTCCCAGAAGAAATAACCATTGTTCTATTAAACCTTCCTAACTGAACAAGCCATTCTGACCTTGAGTTACTGCTTACCTTTGTAACTTCCAAAAGACACTTGGGTAATCAGAAATCTGGACTGCAGCATACACTAGTAGGAGCTCCAACCCTAATACCAGACTAATATTGTAACTGTCAGTACTGAGAGCGACTCAGGAGTGACAAATAAAACAAGAAAGATTACATCTGGCTTCAGAAAACGCTTCAGGCCACTGGACTGGAACAGAAAAATTCTGGAAGACGTGAGCAGGTGCTATAAAGAACAATTAAGTTGTAACATGGAAAAATAGGACTTGACAAGAGCTGGAAAACACAAAATACAAATGAAGAAAAATATATACTTACTTGTTCAAATGTTTCCTAGCTGCGGGAAGGCCAGACATTTCTTCATTCAGCACGTATTTCTTTGTTCCCATGCAGTAATTTTCCATGTATTCTGCCCAATGTAGCTGTCGAACATCAAAATTAAACACCTGCATAAAATAAAAGCTTTCCCTGTTAGTTGCCTAAAAATTCAGTTGTTATATATAGTAATTTAAAGGAGAAGAAAAAATGCTTTTACCAGATAACTCAAATTTGTCTTTGATGCAAGAAAGTTATCATTTCCTTAATCACAAGATTTAGATCCCATTTCTGACTCAACTGCCAGCTTCTTACATATTCTCTTCCAAACTCCAAGTATTTCATGTCTTATTTTTCCTCCTCAGTGGTAATATTCTTCCCTGCACTTCAAAATGCACCACTTTCCCATTTCATCTGTCTGTAAGGAATTCCACTCTAGAAATAACTATTTCTATTCTTGTTTCCTTTTAAGCAACAAGACAGTTCTAATATGCTACAGAACAAAGACTGCTCTCTGCCAAGTTCACTGATAAAACAGGACTTTTAGATGTGCTTGTAGTTATACAGCTGTATTTAAAAAAAAAAAACAAAAAACAAAACCAAACACCAAAACCTATGTATCTTCAGGAGATATAAATCCAATAAAATTAATCGAATTTTGGGGACCACAGTGAATACATACTATGTCTGACTTCTTTTATTTTTTGTTATATTTACTCTCCCCTGTCCTGCCAAGGAGGGAGAATGCTACTACAGCTTTAAGGTCAACCCACCACACAGGTGTTTGATAAATACGGTACAAAAATAGACTATCATAATCAACCACACACAGTGGGAAGACTAAGGTTTTTTTCATTCAAGGTATTTCATTCCCTCTTACTCAGACCCTGCACTCAAGTTTTCCTTCCTCCTTAAGATCCTCCAGGGCTTTTCTGTCATGCTGCTTCCATTACACTTCTCCCCCTGCACAGGGCAGCTTCAGTCACACAGCAAAAGCATGCTTCAGAAAGAAGTGAGAGAATTTACACTTATATTTCTTACACACAGCTTTCTGGCCAAACCATGAGAACAGTACATAAAATTTGTTATCAGTTTAAAAACAAGCAAGAAAGTCCCTCAAAATCCACTTCCTGTTTCCTCAGAAGAGATTAACTGTCAAGAACTAAAGCCTTGTTTTATTCATGATGTAGGTAAAACTAACAGCTCAATATATGGGCAACACCAGATTACATGATCAGGCAACTCCAAAGACAACCATCTTTTATATCAGGCCTCCTTCCAGGGGGTCCTGCCTTTCCTTGTCTCTGATCACACCAATGATCTAGCACATAACACAGTCCTGTTCTATATGACAGGAATCTCTAGTGCCAAGTTAGTACTAGTGATAGCTCCACGGTACAGTAAAGCAGCAGTCCCAACAGATGTCCTTTTTCAATCTTGAATAAACAAGCTTATATTTTACTTTCAGTCTCCATGCCCAGATCACACAGTTAACTTGCCTTTTTGTCTTCAGGGCTCAGCTGGTTCATTAGCATAGTCATATTTTCAGTATTCCAAATCCAAGAATTGCTTGTAAAGTATTCTAACAACATCATGGCCTTATGAAGACGTGTTATTGTTTTCATCATCCTATAGTCCAAGGCATGGAATGTACAGGTTACATGGTAGTAATAATTAGTTCAAACAAGAACAGCAGACTAAGATTGTAATTTTTTTTACCCTCCAACCCCACACCCCTATGTTAACACATCCCATCTTGCTCTGTACCCAAAGGATGTTATATTCCATCAAGAAGGTATTTCTGCATGTTACTGAAATGGATCTTGGCTGTCCAATCTTTATACAGAATCAGAAATTACAGGAAAGTCCCTTTTTCTTCATCATACTTCACACTGCAATAGTAAGTTACCACCTCTCCCCCCCCCCCCCTTGTTGTTTTGTTGTTTTTTTTTTTTAAAGGGAAGAAAACCATTGTTTTCCATTGGTAATCCCTAGTTCTGCACACACACACACCACTTTTCCCTTCAGCACAGCGGAATATCTGGTACTGAACAATATGACTGCACTGAACAATTTTACCTGACAAGTGTTAAACTGCACAGTGCAGAAAATACACACAATAACTAACTTTAAGCAAAGAAGTAAGTTTCCCTGATCATTTTGAACACTATGCAAAACCAGATCTCTAACAAACCAAAATTGGTTTATTAAGGTCACTAAGAGAGAAAGGCTTAAAGCCATCAGAAATACAGCTTAGGCTCTTAACCCTCTGCTTCTTCAGCAAAGGGCAAGAAAATACTTAAGAGCACAGATAAACAATAGCAGCTCCTAAAAGTTAGGTGATCAGTTCTATGCTACTTCAAAATACGCAGAAATACCTTCCATCATCCTTTACTACACATAGGAAGCAATTCTTTAAAATCATCACTTGAAGTACAGAAAAATCATGCTGTAAGGACCAATCTGGGCAGTCTGATCAAAATAGAAACTTATCTGAAGTGCACCCAAAAAACATGAGTCATCCAGCTACTCAGATGCAAAGCCCCACATTTATGACAAGAAAATTGTTTCAGGTGTTACACTGCTAGAAATGGACACTCAACTTTAGTAAGTACTAAGTTACCATCACATAACCTAATGCTGTTATATTCCTGCTTTGGGTGCTCAAGGTAGTTCCATCTCACAGATCTGCTTCCAATTCGATCCTTACAGCAGGACACACTGGTCATTTTAAGCAGAGTCGGGGGAAGGGAGGGGAAACAAAGAAAGCAGAACAACCCAGCACTAACAAGAAATGACTTTCTTAAGGTAAGTTTTGTTTAGCAAGAGTCATAGAAGAAATGCAAACCACCGATTTTTCTCTGAAAGCTGCCTTGGTGCAGAAATAGAATCATAGAATAGTTAGGGTTGGAAAGGACCTTAAGATCATCTAGTTCCACCACCCCTGCAATGGGCAGGGACACCTTACGCTAAATCATATCGCCCAAGGCCTCGTCCAACCTGGCCTTGAACACTGCCAGGGATGGAGCATTCACAACCTCCCTGGGCAACCCATTCCAGTGCCTCACCACCCTCACAGGAAAGAATTTCCGTCTTATATCCAACCTAAGCTTCCCCTGTTGAAGTTTTAACCCGTTACCCCTTGTCCTATCACTACAGTCCCTCATGAAGAGTCCCTCCCCAGCATCCCTATAGGCCCCCTTCAGATACTGGAAGGCTGCTATGAGGTCTCCACACAGATTTCTCTTTTCCAGGCTGAACGGCCCCAGCTTCCTCAGCCTGTCTTCATACAGGAGGTGCTCCAGTCCTCTGATCATCCTCGTGGCCCTTCTCTGGACGTGTTCCAACAGTTCCATGTCCTTTTTATGTTGAGGACACCAGAACTGCACACAATACTCCAGGTGAGGTCTCACAAGAGCAGAGTAGAGGGGCAGGATCACCTCCTTCGACCTGCTGGTCACACTCCTTTTGATACAGCCCAGGATACTTGCAGAAGTGATATAGCACATTGTTCCAGAAACTCTAGTCTAAAGGAAGTATTATGTATCACGTTAGTGTCCCCTACTGTCACTAATGGCTGGCATCTCAGTATCTAAAGGAATACTGAAAAATGCCTCTTTCTTCTCATGAAAAAAAGATCCGAAATGATTAAAAGATGCTTTATATTAAGTTTGAAGCAGTTTTAAATTGACAGATAAGAAATTATGGCCTTGACATCATTCTACATACATGATCCACACCCTTCCTTTTGCTTTTTAAGGAGGAGTAACAGAACATGAATTGCTGGAGAAATCACCGAACTACAAATTTAAATACTTCATGCCACATTCTGTTCTTCCAGTAAATATACCCCACTGCTGGGAGTATATTTAGAGGTCTTTAGATTTCAAATATACGGGATTAGTATTAAATAACATGGTTCTGCTGTGCTAAGCTCTATGCAAAGTTAAAAGCAAGATCTATGCCTAATATTAAAGGTAATTAGAAAATCAGCAAGCTTTGCTATGCAATTATGTATATGCATGGCAAGCAACTGATAATACTATCCTTAAACTTAGATGTTAAGGATTATCACCACTATATCTGTAACTGCACAATGCTATAACAGTATTCAGTACAAAATATTAACTCTTCATTATGACAATCGTTATTGTACCTGTTTTTCCTATAAATTTCAGATTATATTCATTACTTCTTCCTATCACAGAATTGTTAAATTTAAGGAACTTAAATGAGATTAAAAAAAAAAGGCAGAACTTTTTCCACCTCACTAAAAAAAAAAAAAAACCAAACATTGTTTCCACAAGTAATGTGCAAAAGAATGATTTCATATTGCAGAAAGTTAACAGGAAGTTTCCAAAAAAACCTGAACAGGAAGACTTTTTGATTATGAGCCTTTAGTTCTAAAGAGTCATAGGCCCAACCTATTTCTTCTACTTGTTAAAAATTTCTTACTCAGTTGCAGCACAGTATTGTGACAGTATGACAACAGTGCAGTTAAACCTACTCAGTAATTGCATTACCTAGAGGTTTTCCTACATTGCACACAAACACCTCAGAAATGTATTCTGACTCAACACAGAGAGGGCAGGCCATTGACCACATGATGTTAAGTTTTGGCTAATTCTACATTTTTACTATACTGCTCAAGTTTTCTGCTAAATAGTGATGGAAAACATCATATTTCAGATTACGCCAGCCCTTTTTCTCTCAGAACAGCATTGTACTGAGTTTAAGAATTGCCACTAGCATTTCCAAGTCTTTAGAATTTTCTCAGTACATGCTACCTGGCAATTAAGACCATTATGCCAACTGGACAGAATGACCACAGCAACAGTGGGACATCCTTATACCATGACTGTCTTCAATCCATCAGTTAAAGCAGCTTTCAAAGTTGGAGTCAGAAGACTAGGGGAAAAAAAAAAGTAGGTAAGATCTGTCTCAAATTTATTCTATTATTAAAGCCCACTAGGGTTTAACACTGCTTGTGTCTATGTCCTGCTTGTGTCTATGTATTTTCTTCTGCTGCTTTTATTGCAGGTTCCCATTTTTTAAATGCTTGAAGGAAAAAAAAAGAGTAATAATGAAAGGTACATTCCTGTAAGTGGGTTGGGTATCAAACTGAAACCTTTTCTTTCAAGTGCATTTGAGTAACTTTTGTGAATGAATAACAGCTTGCTTTAGTTGAATCTCACACATTTCCTCCAAACTGGAAATCTTGTGCATGATAGGAAACTCACCCACCCACTGTTATATTAAACTAATTTGAAATAATCTTAACTAATAATTCATAGGCTAGAAAATACATATTTAATGCCACCAACTGTACTAGTACTGATAAAGTCCTAAATTCCATCTTCGGACATCAAGCAAGAACTCCAGGAAAAGCAAAAACAAGACTCAACATTCCCACTGCTAACAGCATTCTAAACAACATGATTATTCTCAGCTTGTTTTACTCCTACTAGTCTAATACTTAAAAGACTGAACACCTTTTAAAGATTTATAGGATTCTGGAAGCTCTACTTCCTAACCATTTGAAGGTCAGCAGGGTTGGCATTTATATTGTAACTGGTTTTAGTGACTAATGGTCTCTACATCTGCCAGAATTCCTATCATTTTTTTATTAAGAATAACTTTAAATTTCAAAAGAACCTAAAAGCTAGGAACTTGTACATTCAAAACCTTCTTTTGTTCTGAAAAGCTTACATCTTTTGGACATATCCCACAGCCTCCCACAGCTTCCCACAGCCTCTAGCACAGCCTCCTGCCATTACTGTTGCTGTATGACACTACTGAGCAGGATTTGAACAACAGAACCCAAGCACTTTGAGAAGCTTTCTCCTACAAACCACTTACATGGCTTCCTTCTACTGATCCACTGCCAAGCCTCTTAGAGAACTGACTGTTCTTACAGAACAACTGACCTGAACTACAGGACAGTGAATGAATACTCACTTGTGTTAATACACTGTCACCAGAGTGAAGATTTTTTTATAGACTCTGAAGACAAATACTTCTGAAAACATATGTAATGAGTTACAATCGTATGGCTTGGCAAATCTGAAACAAACTGAAGTGACACCTTATATTCCTTCTATATAACTTCATTTAGCCTATTTAACAGAACTATGTCATTTTCACCACTCAAGAGGTTAGGCAGATACTAGCGTAAATATTATAAACTGAACGGAATGTCAAGATGATACAAACCAACAGATCAAATTGTATCATCTACAGGAATAACCTGTAATTAACTCCATCTCCCGTTCCATTTTCAGTTTATAAGAGCAACAACAATCTTTATGCAAGCCACTTTCTAGAGTTTAATGACTGACTGGGACACCAAACCAAGATGTATGTTGAACAGCATTGTTGAGCCAGTCATTAATCTCTTCGAAACGCAGCCATTGGATTGTTATTGCTTGCAGTTAGTAAATCTAGACAGTGCTCATGCCATGTCTTCTTCACATGTCTCCACCACCTTGCCAGCAAGGTATTTTTAGGCCTGTCCTTCTTACCATGGTTTATGACCTGTCAATCTGAGCAAAAGATCGTGCAAAAATGCAGGCATTGTATGGCTGACTGCAGTCCAGTACTGATACAAGAGGGGGTTGGATTGAAAAGTTAAATTAGGGTGCCTTACTGCACTTTCTAATGGATTTATCTGGAAACTCAAAGTAATGTGGCGTCCTGTGGGAAAAAATAAGGATCAACATATTTTGACTGTTTATTATTCAAGAATAAACATCACTTTCTAGATCCTTTAATTTAGTCTACCTTAACTATTCAAACCCCCAAACTATCCAACAAAGATATCCTCATTTTTCCTAGAAAATTCAGTCACTTTGAATTCAAGGACCTGTTCTCAGGAGAAAAAAGCCAAAATTTAAGTCACAAAGCATTCAGGGGAAGGAAAAAAAAAAACCTAAAAATCATCAACATAAATCATAGTGTAAGCATAGCTTTGTTTAAAAGTCAGAGGAACAGACAAGACAGATCTAGTCACCATTACCTTGGGCTTCTTCCAGTAATCCTGAGGTAGATATCATACAGGAATGCTGGGGCCTTATGGCTTACAGCAATCCAGTAATGATATAAAAGGTGATTGGAAGTTAGATTTACATTGGGCCGTCTGAAGGCCTGTTCGAGAGGATTCCTCTTGAAAGTAGAAATTACATGGTATTCTGAGAAAGAAAAGTTGCGTAACAGCTTTGATAATAACCATGTAAAATGTAATGGTTTTCAAAGTACATTACAGTGTACAATATTTACGTCAGTACAACATGTAAATAACCACCCTAACTTCTCTAAGATTCTCAGAAACTAAAACAAAGTCATAAGCCTAACTTGAAAGGCTGTTGTACTGGTTCCTATTATAATCAAGAGGTCTTTTATGTCTTCATCTTCAGTATCATATTTTTCTTGTAGCTTCTCTCTCTGTTCCTCTTCCCTATCTCAGAAGTTGTTTTAAAAAACTGACAGCAATTTAAAACAAGTTATCCATATTTAACTGTTAAGAAAAAGGCAATCAGGATGGGACTCCATGTGAAACTCCTGCCGACACCTGAAAATACTTCACAACAGATATGCAGGACCAGTGTCTTAAGAAGCCCTGTTGAAATCCACTGCTTATAACATCAAGCTGTTGTTTACAGACTGTGTTTAAACACCCAGCTCAAATTGGGATATAAATTAAGTCAGCAATTTTCCAAGTTTGGCTGAAGCAATAGCAAATAAATACATATAAAATGGGTAAAAGCAAGTAAAAAGCAAAGTAGTAGAGAGAAGTAAAATAGATTTAAGTACTAAAGAAAAAAATAATTATCTGATCTTAAGAATTCTATTTCTAAAAAACTGAAAGCAAATAAAACAGATTTACCATGCCAGATAGCTTGTATTGCTATTTATAACGAAAACTATTTCAAAGCTTTTGGCATCTGGGTTACATTCCAGTCAGCATATCCAAGAGTTGAAAATAGGTAGCCATTCTTTCTTAAAAATTACTTTTCCACGTACATGAACAGTTGAAGTCTCATGTAACTATCTGAATATTAAATCAACTTAAGACAAAAACAAAGAGCTACACAAGTGCAAAACTATTCTTCCCATACCTCTCAATTTATGCAGATATACATAACATGTGATTGTGGGCTGTTTATCCACATGCATTTGTTAAGGTCAACGTTAAACCCAACATCACTATCGCTCTTCTGTGCAATGTTTTTACTCTGCTCACTACCCACAATCTGCAGATTATGTCATGGCACCAAACAAAAATCAGTGATCCCGTAATTCAAATTATAATGAAATTAAAAACAAAAAAAAAAAAAAAAAAAACAAAAAAAACCAAACAAAACCCACCAAGCAAAAAACCCACACACACAATCAAGAACAAAATGAAAATGTGATAATGCTGCAAGGCGAGAGAATTAACAGTGGAAGATAATGAAAAAGCACAATACACTACAAAATTGAGAGGTATGCCTGTTATATTGATTTCAATAATAAAAAAGCACTATCACCTACTGATTATAGCCCATGCTTGTATTATTCAACCTTACTTTTCTATTAAAGCATATGAAAAAAGAAACATAGCATACCAACTTCACCCCAGTGGAAAGGATTGGTGCCACCTGTTGTACAGTTATATACCATGACATTTCTCGGTCTGGAGGGAAAGACAAAAGTGAAGTTAGAAGACAACCTACCTTTTGAAAAAAGAGGCAAGATACAACTTATCCCTTATCAAAGTTACCCTTTCCCTCAACAGCATCATTTACATAAAGCAGAAAGCTCCTATCATGTTGGGTTTTTTGCTTTCTATATCATCCAGTATTTTTCTCCTTTAACTCCTGTATTTCTTTTCTTTCGGAGAATCATCACCTACTTTACTGTAAAATGTACTGAATACAAAACCCAGGAAGAAATTTGCAGGCATAGCTTGTACAACAGTATCAGTAGGTGATGTCTTCTTTGCCATAAGGAAGTTACACTTTGAGGGGCTAACAGCGTTAGAAACTTAAATTTCTTTGTCCTGGGGGAACAGCAGAACACTGATTATAAGTTCAAAGACTGATTTATTAACACACACACACACACACACACAATATAATTTCAAAATACTTCGTACTCTCTGTTGTCACCTATATAGCTAAACCTATATAGGTGTATATATAGTTATACCTATTAACTCCAGAATACCAGGCTGCGGCCAGTGTCATATTAACAGCTACATCTACTGGAACAAGATCTGCTAGCGCATTGTTGGAAGCTCTCATTGTTCGAAGAATTCCCTTTCCTGCCTTAAAGAAAAAAAAACAGCAACAAGAAAAATAAAAGAGACAGAAGATCCACCAATAAAACATATGAAGCTTTCTCGCCTTTCAAAAGGAAGAAAAAAATTTAAGTACATTCAGTACTTACAGCAATGATGACACCACTAGGTCCATTGAAGCTATCAATCCATCCCTATTACAAACAGCAGGAAGGGAAAGGTTTTGGTTAGAGATTACTGAAGTCAGGAGTTTCAAGTGAAAACCTAAACTTTCTACAAGCTTAATGGGTGGAAAGAAAAGAGAACACAGAGGAGAAAGATACCAAGTTCCATATCTCTAAATTAAGTTGTTCCCTGGCAATATTTGGTGGTATAATAAGTTGTTATGATTCAAAAAAAGATCTACCTGTAGATTCACAGGTCCTTTTAAGAGAGATGCTAGCTTGTTTATTTCCTAGTGAGCAAATTGTAGGGCATTGTCTGTATAAACATGTTTATGTTGAAAGTATTCAAGCTTACAAGTTTTTTAGACTAGCTTCTAGCAACTCCTAGAAAACAGATAAGCAGTTTTGCTATCTTTCATTAGTTTTTTCATTCTTCAAACAGGAGATATTCTTCTTGATGATCTTAAGGTCCTTTCCAACCCTAGCTATTCTATGATTCTTCAACGACAGCATTTAGATGCTATATACTTACTGTACTACTCAAAAAGGTATGAAAGGCAATTATTTAATAGACATTGAGAGATATTCAGTCTTGAAGTGGAGAAATTACTCCAACACTGACCTCCCTTACAGAAGGAAGTATATGTGTTATCAGTATAGCACACAGTACTTAGAACTTACGTCATATAACTCAAGCCTACACAGTTTGACTAAAAGTGGAGCCAAAGCATCTTTACATCCTGCAGTCCTCAGTTTTCTTAATCACCCTTTGCAGGTACTGATATACCAAAGCATCTTGAAGAGAAAATTAGTTGAAGATATACAGAACCATCAACAAAAAAAAGCTGACGATTCAGTTCACAGGTAGAATAGTATCTCACACTGTGACAGGCGTTCTACGACTAGAAGTAAGTTACCCTTAAGTTTCTTACATAACAATACCGTACTTGCCAGCTTTTGTACAGGTGTTATCCAGAAGCAAACTGACACAACTTCATAGTCTAAAATACTTTCCATTACAATGCTGGATAAATAGTCAGTATGTACTACAGTTCATAAGCAAGATGGTCAGGTGAAAATGACTTACAGGAAAAGGCTCCTTCCAGCTAGCACCAACAATAGATGGCCTTATAATGGCTGTGTTTAATTTTGCACCTTCTTGTTGTACTACATATTCAGCCAAGGCTTTTGTATATATGTAAGTATTGGGTCTGTCACCTATCAGTTTTGGAGTAATATCATTCACCAGGCCATCATCCATCCATCTAAAGAAACAAAGTAAGAGGCAAGTATAAATTACTGCATGCTACTTCAGTTGAGGGCACACGTAATTAGTTAGTTATCACAAATTTCTTTCTCCTTTAAATAAAAAGGGATACAGAGTGAAATTAAAACAAGTTTCTCAGTAAAAGAAAGGAGAATTGCATTTTTGGTGTCCACTAAGAGTGGTATGCTACTATTTACTTCCTTAATTTCTTGGGCAGATTACTTAATTACTTAAGCAAAATAATTTGTTACACATTAACTATAGAGCAAGTTGTATATTCCTTTACAATAATACTAATTCTATCAACCAAGTTCTCAAACAAGAAGTGCAGACACAGCAAGTTAGTCTTTGGAACACAGGCACACCACTTCTCAGTTAGCATTACATGATTTAGAAAGTGATGCCACTGCAAAACAGTCAGTCTCGGCTGCATTACAAGCATCACCTGTTCCTTTATGGTGTTAACCTATCATCTCTGAAGCAAGCTGATCATCTTGTTACTTCCCTTAGTTTAGTGAAGTTTTGCAAATTCAGCTTGCTTCCCAATTCATTCAGCATTTTGTACTTAAAACTGCAACAACATTGTCATAGCACACAAGCACAACAGAGATGTGCCTCTAACTATTGCTACTTTGGTGTTCTCTACTTCAAAACAGGCTTGGATTTTATCTGCCTCAGTCACCCAAAATCTTAATTACATAAATGGAATTTAGCCAACTTTGTTATTCACCAGTGCTCTCTTATAATCAAAGATGACATGCAGACTACCTCATGATATGAACTGGGCTAGGAAGAGGGGTAGAAAAACCCAGAAAGGGACACAACAGATCTGTTTCTATGTGTTTCAGTCAGCTGTTGGCTACAGATCACTCTCCTGTAAGTTTAGAAAAGCCCCCCCTCATTGCCATGGGTTCTAAAATAGAGACAGCTGTCCAAACCCAAACCAACCAGTTTTAGTTAGCCTGCTTGTGAAGAGAAAATAAAAAAAATTCTCATTCAAAAGCGTATATAAAGTCAACATTATAAAAAAAAAAAAAAAGAAAAATAAGGTGGTTGGTTCAACGTGCATTCTAGGTAGTAGCTCATTTGCTTTTAATGTTAGTGCTCTTCCATCTATAATAGCAAGCTAAAAGATATTTACTTTTTTATTAGTTCCTTTTAATTTCACACTTCTCTTACACGGAATGGACAATAAAACCTTAAACCATCTCCTTAACAGAAAACAGAAGCGTCAGCCATGCTGCCAGACTTACAGGTCAGTGTAAGCGTATTTAGTCTTTCAGGTTCCTAAGCACCTTTTAGTACTTCATTACTAGGAAACAAGTTGTTACAGATTACTGCAATAGCTTCATAAAATGCAACACATACTCAAGAGAATCCATCAGTTTCCTGGGATCAACAGGAGGTGGATATACTACTTCCTCAATCTGTTTTCGATTGCAATATGCATATGCAGTTGAAACATGTATGAACACCTCCAGAGTCTTCATTCGCTGTGCCAAGAAGAGGAGCTCTTGTGTGGCAGTCACATTTAACTTAACAGCATCTCTGTTGATTAAACAGAAACTTGATTAGCAGAGCGCAAGACAAAAAACAAGCCACAAAAGCTCAACTACTCAATTCACTCCTAAATGCCTCAGTGATGGGTAAATAAAATATTCCTAAATACACCCTCCCCAAAAAAGCAGTACGGACAGCATCCTAACCCTCTTCGAACAACATGCTACACAGCCTTACCTAGAGCATCTCTAAATATTTAGTATTACTTTCCCAAGTTTTACCCTGGTTTCTTCACACTCAAATACCAGACTGGGACAGTCAGCATACCTTTGATTCTCCTCAAGCTAAATCCTAATTCTAAATGGGAATAATGCAATGAATCACCCAGCTGCCATAAGATGCACCTCAACTTCCTAGATCAAGAAAAGAAGAACCCCACTTTCACCCTCCAACTTCACAACTTTTTATTAAAATAGAATACTTAAGGACACTGTAGAAGAATAGGCATTTCCCTACAATCCCCACCAGAACACAGCTTACTGATTAACTACTATGATTATTTTATATAATTCAGATATCCTTTCCAGCATATAAAACTTACTATGGGAGCTAGTTGTCTTGTATACACTTTACTAATCCAATAAGCTTTAATAAAACTTTATTGGCTGTATTCTCAAAGTCTCTACAACGAAGTGTTACATAAAAAAAAAAAAAAACAACAACAAAACCCAAACACAAAACAACCCACAAAAACACTCTTGATTCCCCCAAATAAGCATTAAGTCTGATTTAATACACTATTACTGAAGCACTGGGGTGACAGGAGAAGGAGGCCACTATTCCAAAGCAGTTAGTATAAATGGAAAATATTACATCTAAATGAAATGGGGAGGAGAGGTATTTTGAGGTTTTTTGGTTGGGTTTTTTCTTTTTTACCCTCTTTCATCTGTTTGGGGTTTTTTTAGATAAAAGTATTGTTCTCAGCCTTCACTGCCTCTTTCAAGAGGTCAAAGGAAGGCATGCATAATCAGTATGCACCACTTCAGGATAAAGAAGTACACAGCAATTACGAATTGGGAGAATTTGTACTTCAGCATACAGTTTTGCCCAAAAGTTATCCTCTGAAAGGTGCATTCCCCTTCTGATAAGGTAATTTAAAGGAATACTTTGCGTTCCCTTTCGCACATTAGGAAAAAAGCTCTAATATTACCAGTTTGCACAGCACATATAGCTACAGCTTGTTTGCATCCTTTCTAACCATCCTAGATATCAGAGCAACACATGATGTAAGGAAGACTCAGAATAGCAACATGTTCCTTAGTCCCTTCAACAGCTTCCCTTCAAAATGACTGAAATTCAGGCAATGGGATTTAGTTTAAAAGAAAAAAAAAAAAACAACAAAAAACAAGCCACCAAATAAACCACACACACCAAACCAACCCAACCACACAAAACCTAGAGGGGCTGTAGCAACTAAATAAAATACTCTTGTAGTTTTGCTAAGTCATAATAATGGATTTGGCTTTTTGCCTACAGCTTTAAAGAGATAAGAACTTTTCCAAGTTGAATAGAGTAATTCTAACCTCTGGCAAAGCAGGTCTTATAATATGCCTCCACCTTCCTAAAAAGAAAAACTGAAAACCTAAAAGCTTAAGATAACTTTTGAGGAAAAGATTATTACTTTAAGGGGCATCATGGAATTGACCAAACACACAAATACCAGAATACATAAAGTAGCCTGACAGGCTGAATATTTGCAAGATTATGTAGACACCTGATTTACCCCCTCCTTTGAGCACAATTGATTTACCAGAGCAGAGGCTACAGAATTTTAGACTCACCTTAGTGTTTCATTGAATCTGACTGTAGCAGCGCAATGAAATATAATATTAATGCATTCTATAAGTTCTTCCTTGATTGGTTCACTGAGGTCCAGTTCAGGCTGTGTAAGATCACTCTCAATAACAATTATTTTTGCTCTGAAGTCTGGTTGCTCATCTCTCAACCTGTCGAAGAGCTGTCAAACAAAAGGAGTAAAAAATTCAAACTAATAGGAAGTGAAGAGATACACATTTCATTTCAGTTCGGAAACACTATTTGCCTACAGAGTTATACCATCGTATTTCTCAAGATATACAGGAAATTAGAAAAGAGCATTAGGAATACTACTATGTTACCGACTTCTATGGACATAATCAGTGATGAAGTTATGCTTCTAACCCAAACTATTCTGTGATTCTACCTTACAACTTCCAGTCCACACTCTTTCACTTGGTAACTTATTCTCTTAGCAAGTTTTAACTCAGGTGTTTTACTTCTCAGTTCTGCATTACAGTTGAATATAGAATCATAGAAGAGTTAGGCTTGGAAAGGACCTTAAGATCATCCAGCTCCAACCCCCCTACCATGGGCAGGGACACCTCACACTAAACTGTGTCGCACAAAGCTCTGTCCAACCTGGCCTTTAACACCTCCAGGGATGAAGTACTCACAACTTCCCTGGGCAGTCCATTCCAGTGCCTCACCCCCTCTCAGTAAAGAACTTCTTCCTTATATCCAATCTAAACTTCCCCTGTTTAAGTTTTAACCCATTACCCCTTGTCCTATCACTACAGTCCCTCATGAAGAGTCCCTCCCCAGCATCCTTATAAGCCCCCTTCAGACACGGAAAGGCTGCTATGAGGTCTCCACACAGCCTTCCCTTCCCCAGGCTGAACAGCCCCAACTTTCTCAGCCTGTCTTCATACGGGAGGTGCTCCAGTCCCCGATCATCCTCGTGGCCCTCCTCTGGATTTGTTCCAACAGTTCCATGTCCTTTTTATGTTGAGGACACCAGAACCGCACACAATACTCCAGGTGAGGTCTCACAAGAGCAGAGTAAAGGGGCAGGATCACCTCCTTTGCTCCTTTTGATGCAGCCCAGGATACGGTTGGCTTTCTGGGCTGCAAGCACACGCTGAAGCCGGCTCATGTTCATTTTCTCATCAACCAACACCCCCAAGTCCTTCTCTGCAGGGCTGCTCTGAATCTCTTCTCTGCCCAACCTGTAGCTGTGCCTGGGATTGCTCTGACCCAGGTGTAGGACCTTGCACTTGGCATGGTTAAACTTCATGAGGCTGGCATCAGCCCACCTCACAAGCGTGTCAGGGTCCCTCTGGATGGCATTCCTTCCCTCCAGCACATCAACCGAACCATACAGCTTGGTGTCATCAGCAAGCTTGCTGAGGGCGCACTCAATCCCACTGTCCATGTTAGCGACGAAGATGTTGAACAAGACTGGTCCCAACACCGATCCCTGAGGGACACCACTCGGTACTGGTCTCCAGCTGGACATTGAGCCATTAACCACAACTCTGTGTGCAGCCATCCAGCCAGGTCTTTATCCACCAAGTGGTCGATCCATCCATCAAATTGATGCCTCTCCAATTTAGAGACAAGTGGGACAGTGTCGAATGCTTTGCACAAGTACAGGTAGATGACATCAACTGCTCTACCCCTGTCCATCAGTTCTGTAGCCCCATCACAGAAGGCCACCAAATTGGTCAGGCAGGATTTCCCCTTAGTGAAGCCATGCTGGCTGTCACCAAGCACCTTGTTGTTTTTCATGTGCCTTAGCATGCCTTCCAGGAGAATCTGCTCCAAGATTTTGCCAGGCACAGAGGTGAGACTGACTGGTTTGTAATTCCCTGGGTCATCCATTTTCCCCTTCTTGAAAATGGGGGTTATATTTCCCTTTTTTCAGTTGTTGGGAACTTCACCTGACTGCTACGATTTTTCAAATATGATGGACAGTGGCTTGTCAGCTTCATTTGCCAGCTCCTTCAGGACCCGCAGATGGATTTCATCAGGTCCCATGGACTTGTGCACATTCAGGTTCTTAAGATGGACTCAAACCAGATCCACTCCTACAGCGCGCCCAAGGTCTTCGTTCTCACAGTCCCTGCGTCTGCCTTCCAAAACTTGGGTGGTGTGGTTAGAGCATTTGTCAGCGAACACTGAGGCAAAGAAGTCATTCCAAACCTCAGCCTTCTCCAAATCCAGGGTAGCCAGTTCTCCTGATAGCTTCTGGAGAGGGACCACATTGTCCCTAGTCTGTCTTTTATTTGCAATGTAATTATAGAATCCCTTCCAGTTATCTTTCATATCCCTAGCCAAGTTTAATTCTAACTGGGCCTTAGCTTTCATCCCTAGCTTCCCAGGCAACATCCCTGTATTCGTCCCAGGCCACCTGCCCTTGCTTCCACCTTTTATAAGCCTCTTTTTTCCTTCAAAGTTTCCTAAGCAGTTCCTTATCCATCCAAGGAGGTCACCTGGCCCTCCTGTTGCCCTTCCTTCTAGTTGGGATGCAACATTCCTGAGCTTGTAGAAGGGGATACTTGAATATCAACCAACAGTCTTGGGCCTCCCTGCCCTCTAGGGCTATTTCCCATCCTCCACCTAAATTAAATACAGGATAATTTTCACTACTGTCTTTGCTAGAGGCTAACAGCTTGAAAAACAGCTATGAAAGCACTTCCAGGTCTTGGATTGTATATTTGTTAGAACAATAACAAAGACAAATATTCAAAAACAGTATTTTACTTTAGACAAAGCAAAGTTCTTCTCAAAATGAAATGAGAACATGAAAAAGGACAAAAATGTACTTTGAGAATGACACATACCTTACAGCTCGTAATTTCTTCTACTCGTGCTTCAGCTGTCTGCCCTGCTTTGGGTCTTATCAAGACATACACTGCTTTCACTTTAGGACAGGATCTGAGCAGCTTTTCCAGAAGCACTTTTCCCATGAAGCCTGTAGCTCCTGTCAGGAGGATGTTCTTTCCTTCATAGTATTTGGGGATGGAAACCATTATGACCTTAATAAAAGTTTATATATATTAAAAAAAAAAGGATATTAAAGAACTTCTAAGAGTTCAGATTTGCAAAAGATATAAGTAAGTGACACAGATGCAAACACCCAACCTCACACCTGAAAGAAATGCTTAACTGCTTTTTTTTTTCCTTCCCTAACCTACAACTAGTATTTTAAGATGTCTTTTTTGCATTCAAAGAAAAGTTCCACAGGGTCACTACAGTCATCCCAGATCTTCTTGCAAGCTGCTCCTCTTAAGAGCGTTTTAGGGAATTAGACACCCACTCAGTCTAGGAAAATATCACAACTTCAGTCTGTTTTTACCTCTTTACCACTTCAAGTGGCCGCTCCACATAAACCAAAGGTCATATCAGTAAAATGTAATCACAAGCAGATACTTCAAATACATTGACAGAAGACAGCGAGCGAGGCACCTGCCAATTGCTGGCCGTGGTATTTTGCCTGTGTCAGCAAAGTTCCCTGTCAGTATTAGGCTGAGCCTTCTTACAAATTAGATTAGACCAAGGAGGAGGTACAGTTAGTTGCTTTCTATGAGATCTGCTGGTTCTATACTGATTAGAAAAAAACACCATGCAGTTCCACAGATGATACTGGTTTCCAACCTAGTCATCAATTAAGTCTGACAGGTTTTCCCTGCCAAGTAAGGGATTCAAAGTCTCACACAATCTGAGTTTGACACAAATACACCTCCTAATAAAACGTTTGTTACTCAAATTTGTTACTCAAATTCAGCACAAAGCTCAGAAGTGTTGCAGGTTTTGCTTAAGTTAACTACAAGAATTTTCATTTCTTTCCCCTACCTTAATCAACCTCTTGGATATTATGTCCAATTCTACTGGAAACAAAGACTTTCTAAGCATAAACATGCTGCTATTTCTCACACTAATGCAGACTTTGGACCTTGACCTTTAAGGCCTTTAGAACTAAACCTGCGCCTCAGACCAAATTAAACCCATTCTAGTAAGTAAAATATACCAATTTTTACTATAACCCACAAGCAGCTTACTTTCACTGTAATAGACTGTAGCCTATGAATATACTTCCGCCATGCTTTACAAATCTGTCTAGACTTAAGACTGATGTACTGAAAGTCTCACCACAGTCTCCTATAGCAGATCCCCAAGCAACACATTACTGAAATCACTACCAAGAGAGGCTTATTCCATAAAACCATGATACTAAGAAAACCCAGAAAAATGAGTCCCCTTAAAACAGATGAGTAGCATTTCTTAAGAATTACAAAACTGAATATCTAAACAGGAAGAGAGCCTTTCTTCATGTACTACCCAAGAAGAAAAAGAAATGCAGCTTCCAAATATGCTTAGTTGTTTTGAAATGGCAGCCTATTGCAAGCAGGAACTTACCAGGGGATACACAGGATTTATGTTAGCAGTAAAGAACCACAGGCTTAATTTGCATTTTTTGCCTGAAAAGTAAGTAAAAGTCTTTGGAACATTTGTCAACATCTCAGGTACCAATCATATTAAAGTAATTGGGCTGTGCTTTTTGTGTGCTTGTACCATAACAAAGCCTCTGAACAAGTTCTAAATGATTCTTTGCCAGAAAGAAGTCATCACCTGCACAAGCTCCCATTTCAGGATTTGGGGTACAAAGTCTTACATTTTTTGGTCCAACACACTGAATATTTTGACTTCCTTCTTTGACAACATTAGCTCCCAAATTTATTAGTGAAGCACCTAAAAACTGATAATGCGATACAGTTCCAAGTTAAGAAAAGAACAAGCATACCATCTAAATCGGCCACAATATATCATCCAAAATGGTTTCTCTGAAGGTTGATAAGATTTAGAGATGGACGGAGGGGAAAAAAGCTGTTTACCTTAAACCACTTTCACCACATACTTAAGACTTTAACGTAAATTTCAAAGCACACCTTCTGCAATAAAGCACAGACAGCAAGATACAGCATGCTTACGAATCATTTTTTCCTGTTCAATGTAAGATACAGCCCTGTGTATCAGATACAGACCCTGTGGTTCTTAAAGTCACAATTAACACCCTCTGCTTATTCACATACGTCCTCCCTGCAACTTCCATTTTCTGAAACTTTGCATAGACCATTCAACTTCATTTCCTCCTAAAAACGTGCATGCTAGCTCCCACATAGAGGATAGGACCACTGTTCCCTCAAAAGAGGGAGAACTCATGCAATCATTACTGCACTGGTTTTGTAACCAAGATTCAGTTTTGTTACAGTTATTACATAATCTTGTCACTAATTTACCTGATTAGCCATAATTCATATTTGTTACCCCTTAAGACTATGACACTATTTTGCACAAGTTCACTAGCCCTTCTTCAAAGGAAAGATTAATACTACCTCTGACACAATACTGCGTCCTCAGTCTGCAAACCCATTCACGTGGACAGCCTTTGGCTACGGAAACACAGGAACCTTGCCACAACACCCAGTACATGTGCTACAGGCCAACATCTGTTTCTAGAAGTCAAAAAAAATGAAAGTAGTTATGCTGTCAGTGGAAATATCTGTGTTGCTATGGTCCAGCTTTTCAGCTGAAAAATCTGACAGTATTTAGGGTCAAAAGATATAAACAAAACAGCTAGAAGAGATCAGAAACTTCCCTGGCTCAATTATTTCTGACCATACTCCTTTAACTATGAGGTTGATACCTGACCAAAAGTCATTCTTCTGAAACTCTTACAGAATGATAGACTTACAAAATGTCCAGATCAAAAGCTATGGTTATGTACAATGATGAAATGGGTTCAGTTAAACACAAACATACACAGCAAACTTATGTTCACATTAGAGTGGCAGCAACACCTACATGATAGACAAAAAGGTTTCCTTTGAGAAACAAAACACCAATTCCCTTTACCCTGGTCTGCAACAACTAACCTCTGGCAGACTTTATTCATAGCAATTTTCCATACTAATTTTATGTTCTACTTCCATTCCTGTAGAAGATTCTAGCTAGAAAACAGAATTGGAGACCCTTTCAGATATATACATTGCTGCCAAGGTTACAGCAACAAACACTTGGATTATGAGGGGTTTGCCTAGCAGCACCAAGTGTGAATCAAGGACGAAAACAACGCATGGAATCTAGGTGTGAACAAAGTCTGAAATCAACACCCTGTGTTTCTAGCAGTGGAAAAAAAAAAAACAAAACCAATCTCAATTGAAGAAAAAGGAAAGAATGTTCCCATTCTCCACCTATCTTTCCCTGCCTTCTCTGAGAAGGCAGCTCCACACGCCAGGTAGCATAGCATTGCTGGCAACCCCTTATTTCAAACTCAGAAGGGACTTATTTTACAGGTACAGCATACTAACTGTGTCAACTTTTCAAGTTCTTTATAGAGGCAAATTACCAAAGAACTACTTCATAATTGTGTTTAAAGAAGTTAAACAAATGTCAAAGGTCAAACTAAATTTCCACTAGGAACTACATTTAACACGTAACAGGTTGAGTAAATCCAGAAATAAAGACCTACCTACAGTAAAATCAAATTTAGCTTTTGAAGGTTGATGTTTAAGTGTCAGCAATTGTTTTATCTAGTTTTGGAGAGCATCTTTTTGCATGTTTGCAACAGCTGAGTTGTAGCTATTAACCAGCAATACGTATTTCCGCTAGCTATCCAATGTCTTGCTAACAGCTGTCTCTTCAAACATTCAGACAGGTAACTCTTAGCAATCACAAAATTGTCTGGAATAGAATATCTGAATCCCTATACCATAGCTACTTCTTTGACCCAGCAAATAGTAACTGCCATGAAAAAAGAAATTTGACAGTAGAATGAATTAACAGAAGTTCTGTAAAGGATTCTTGCTCCAGAAGAGGGATAACTGAAACTACCAGATTAGGGATAAACAGCCTTTGGTAGAGGAAGCTTCTATTAAGCAGCTATAGAGAAACTGATGCTAGTTACTTCTGAATTCACAGGTTCACGGCCAAATCAACAGTGACACTCATAAGATACAGCTTATTTGAAGGCTGCTGTCCTTTGATAAATCAAGAGTTCTTAAGAACTTGACTAAACAACAAAAAACACCCCAACACAAAAACCAGCCCACAACCAAAAAAAAAAAACCCCACACTCTAGGATCTTAGCCAACATTCTGCATCTTGTAAGAAATTCTAGTGTTCAAAGCTGAGCAAGTGCTATTATGGAGCAAACAACAGCAGCTCTGTTTGCCTTCAGAGCTACTGCAGCAATATTTAACTCATTGCTTCAGAGGCCCAAATCTCAAAACAGAGATAATTCTGCTTTTAAAAAGGAAAAAGACCAATTTTCAGATTTGTCCAAACACAAATCAAGATGCTTAAAAATTTGCTTTCCAAGTGGCAGGAAAGCCTGCTGCAGTTCTATCGCATGCTTAAATGCTAACTCCAGCAACTAGAAAGAATGAGTATATCTCCTTGTTAGAGATTAAATGGTCTGGTTTCTATTTTATCACTAACAAACATTAGGTCAACAAGATGCTCCCTCCAAATTCAATCATTTGCAACTACCACTCACAGGAAACAGAAAACATGTATTTCCCAATCTCTCAAGCATCAGCAATAAGCCACAAAGTTCTGCAAAAATACAATCTGACACACCAGTTTCCCCCTCTCCTTCCACCAGCTTCAACCTAGTACTAGCAGCAATAGAACAAAAAAGTCTAAACAGCAGAAGAAACATTTATGTATATTCAGGAGATGAAATCCATCTAGACACCAAACCTGAATGAATCACAGGTGGTGGCTCGTTTGTTTTAAACATCACACAGGCACACATCCACACCAGACAAAAATCATTATAGAAGTCCCTCATACAGAGCTTCAATTGCCACATTACATGGACACTACAGCAAACAGAAAAAGAAAAAAAAAAAAGATATATATATAAGAACTGGAGAGATTGAAGAATTCAGGCAACAAAGGAAGTAACCTTTAACTCATCTAAACAAGGCTACTGCCAGAAAGTCAAGCCTGGGTCATATCATGTCCGATTTTG